ATTCGCGGGTAAGTTAATATCTCGGGAACCACGGAGTCTAGGAGGCTGAAATTTAAGACTAATGACTTCCTGCCTACGCTCATCCTTGCCCATTCAAATTTAGCGTTACCACCTACGGTCTCGTGAAAATTTTGGCGGGTAAACTATTAACTCGGGAATCACGGAAAGAAATTCATCCTTCAAGGTTTCGAATTCAGCTTTCATACGCTGATGCGTATCGGGAATCACGGGAAGATATTCATCCTTCAAGGTTTCGAATTCAGCTTTCATACGCTGGTGCGGGGAATCACGGAAAGATATTCATCCTTCAAGGTTTCGAATTCAACTTTCATACGCTGGTGCATGAAATCGAAATCACGGAAAGATATTCATCCTTCAAGGTTTCGAATTCAGCTTTCATACGCTGGTGCGTGAAATTCTCACGAAAAGATATTCATCCTTCAAGGTTTCGAATTCAGTTTTCATACGCTGGTGCGTGAAATTTTTGTCTGGTCTTCTTTTGTTTGAACTATTTTTGCATAGACTAAAGTACAAAGCAGTGAAAATCATTAACAGGCAATCGTCCGATGGGCTGAATTGCACAAAACGCATGATCGCACCGGCTAGTCTGGTGCGCGTTGCCATTTATTTTTTCTTTTGATCGTCCGAGACAGGGCTTTGTTTCGGTGAAAACCTGAGTTGTAAGCTCACAGCTTTACCTAAGCATCAGCTTCATAAACAGAGAAGGCAACTCCTGCGGTCAGGCTTTTGTATGACGTTTCTCAGTCATAAATTTCTGCTTTTGCTAAGTTTTTTTAAATGTTTTTTGCCTTTGCTTTCTCAGTTTTTATTTGCTTTTGCTTTTTGGCTAACACTGATATTCTGTTACATTCATAATTTTAATAATGAACAAGTGGTTTTTATTTTTAAATTTTGCGTTTTTTTAAAAATTTAATTGAAAAAGTAATTTTATTTCAGCAAAAGATCCGGTAAGAATTCAGATGATGTTTGAAAGGGCTGTTTGTACGTCTGCTGACAATCCAAATGCTGCGGTATGGTTGCAGTATGGTAACTGGCTGGATTCTTCACTAAAACTACCACAGGTTTGTTTTTTTTTATTAACTTTTTTGCTTTTTTTTTTTTTGGTGTTTTACATGCTTTTTATGGCACAAAGCAGTTTTTGAGTCAAATCAGTTCGTTTATCTTCTAAAATTTAGGGTTTCCGATTCCCGTGAATGCTATTGTAGCTTTCCTCAGTTTTTTTTTTTTTTTTTCAGAGAGCTTTTTAGAAAGAATTGACGACCTTGTCAACGTACTGCTGGTATTGGCAGGTTTTACCACTTGGGCTACGTCCGGGATATGCCCCGTCCATCTAAGTTTTATTCAGCTCAAACCTAACTCTCGAGTATGCGTGTTAAACTCGCACGGGCCCATGAAAATTTTTTTCGAATAAGTTGCTAACTCAAAAGCCAGGGAAGCTAGAAAGCTGAAATTTTAACCTCTGCCCATAGACGGGTCCAGGATGGTCTCCCGGGGGAGGGACATTAAGGGTGACGGCAGATGGGGAGGAGGGGAGAGTAGGGCTCCTTGGAGGCCGACGAGAGGAAGGGTGGGGTAGAGTCCTTTCCCATCCTGGAATTATGCGAAAACTAGGAATGGAGTTGTAACACTGCTACTTTGGGATACTTTAGGCTTTAGTTTACTTTAGTTTTAGCTTTAGACCCGGCTTTTGCAGCAATGGTACCTGTGCAAAAAATCCATGCCCCCTCCCCCTCCCCTCCTTATCTACTTTTGCCTCTGCCTTCTAGAGAAACTCGTGAAAAGTTATACTTTTCCCAGTCTTATTTTGTTGTAGATCTAATTTGGTAAAAAATAGATCCCAACAGTGAGATACGTAAAACAACTTAGATCCTCAGATGCTTCATTTCCGGGAATTCTTTAGGTTTCTGTGGAAGTATACGCTCGTGCAGTACGCCATTCTCCATGCACAGCACTTTGGCAGCAATACTTTACGGCACTGGAACGCTCGAATGCCACTGCAGACGAGATTGATTCGAAATGGCCAGAAGCTCGTAGTACAATAACAACAGCGGACGAGGGCTTATCACTTTACCGCACATACATATATTTACTGCGGCGACGTGTAGCGAAAGAAGGTATGTTCAAAACCCTCAGCAAAACCCCTGCCCAGAACTATTTCCGCCCAATTTTCGCTTTTATAATATTTGGTTAGCTTTTTTTGCGACGTGAGAGGCGTTGGTTTGTAGTAGTTCCGGCGCGTACTACAATAATTGGTTAAGGCACCAGTTGCTGGTTCGAAGAAGCGTTTTTTGCACAGTTCCTCGTAGAGTTTTGTCACTAACGGCACTGGTTTTTCCAGCACATGTTTCTGACTAAAAGAATTGAGACTGGCCACCACGACTGTCAGAGAACATCCCTTTAAAATTTCAACTTTCAAGCTTTTCTGGTTCCCGAGTTAGCAGCTTACCCGTCAGAAATTTTCACGGCCCGCAGGTGGGAACCACGCATACCTAGAGATTGGGTTTAAACTTATTTGCTTGTACATAGACAGGGAGCATCCCTTTAAAATTCGAGCTTTTTAGTTTTCCAGATTTCCGAGTTAGCAGTTTACCTGTAAAAAATTTTCACGGGCCTGTACTTAGGAACCATATGGGCAGGAGTGCCCATTTTGGGAGGTGGGGGTCTATACATGCATGTAGATTATCCTTCCAAAGTTTCAACCTTCTAGCTTTTGTTGGTCTTGGGATGAAAGACCGGTACAGACACACACACAGACACACACACTGACAACCACTTGACAATATGCGTTTTTGCATTGCATAGATGCAAAAAACGCATAAAAAAGGGATTCGAAAATGTGCTTTCTGCATAAAGGCTCATTGGGGCTTCTAAGTGGCAGAAATGCATATTATTAAGAAGCTCTCTGGGCCATCACCTATGTTTTCCATCTCTGAAGCTCTACAGAAATACAGCGACAATGTAAAGCCTGTTGTTTATGAGCGCTCTCTCCGGCTGGTGCCTACTCTCCACGGTGCGTGTACACACCACCTTTTCGTGCACACCTTTACACGTTTTTTTTCCATATCCATTATTTGTAATCTCGTGTAATATTCGCTTACATTTTTAATATTATTATTATTGTTGTTATTATTATTACTATTATTATTATTACTATTATTATTATTACTATTATTATTATTATCGTTATTATTATTATTGTTATTATTATTATTATCATTATTATTATTGTTATTATTATTACAGGTGGTGACGATTATGCTGTGGTATTGGAGAAATTTGAAGAGGGAACAACGTTTTTGGCTGAAAAATTTGGATCTCATTGGGATAGTCCAAAAGCTCAGTATCGCAAAAATTACGCCTTATTTCTGTATACAGTGGTTAAACAACCCGATAAAGGCTAGGATAATCTTCATGTATTTTTTATTATGCGTTTTATGCTGTGTAACAGCGTTACAAAACGCATATTGTCACGGGGTTATCTGTATGTGTGTGTGTGTGTGTGTGTCCCACATTTTGTCCCGTCCTTTCAACTCGAGAACCACAAAAGCTAGACGGCTGAAATTTTGGTATAGTCTTTCCCGCCAACGAATGACGCGGCAAATTTAAATTCAGCCTTGCCGTACTCGTGGGTAACACGTACGGTCCCGCGAAATTTTTTTGCGAGTAAATTAATATCTCAGGAACCACGAAGTCTAGGAGGCTGGAATTTTAGGACAATGACCCCCTGCCCACGCTCAACCTTGCCTATTCAAATTCAGTGTTCCCTCGCTGTTGAATATCACCTACGGTCTTGTGAGAATTTTGGCTGTTAAACTATTTACTCGGGAATCACGGTAAGATATTCACCGTTCAAGGTTTCGAATTCAGCTTTCATGCGCTTATGCATTAAATTTTTAACTATTTTCCAATTGTTGAACTATTTTTGCATAGAAAAAAGAACATAGCAGTGATAATAATTAATAGGCAGTCGTTCGATGGGCTGAATTGCACAAAACACATGATCGCACCGGCT